GTCTCCATTATAATGTACTCCTCCTGCAAATGTTATGATTAACCAATGAATGTTTGCTACATGCTGTTTTAGACATTTTCCACGTTTTTGTCTGAAAAATGCTATAATTGCAATGAAGACCAGCTTACACATAGAAGCCTATATATAGGATCACAGCAACAAATACCTGCTTACATGCCATTATTTTTATGTTATTATTTGAGATTTTTCCCTGGGCTTTCCCTGGAGGGGGTGGTTTGGGGGGACCTCTCTCCTCCTTGGATGCCTAATCTGGGGACAATAGGGACATTTGATTTAGGTTGACACAATAAAAATCGTGTCAAAAGGGGAAATTTGTTAGGAATTAATAAATTAGTCAGCTAATTATTAGACTTCAATGTGTTAGACTTTAATGTGTTATTAATGCAGTTTAGTGAGATTCAAAGTCTGCTCATGTGTGCTCTGCTTCGAGGTTAGAAGATAATGTTGATTCTGAAAAGGGTACCTTGACACCAGTTATTTTTGTATTAATCTTGTGTAAGAATTATGTCTGAAAGAATGTTTTAGTTACACATCACGCATACAACATACACACACACGGAATTCTTCATTTTGTTATGACTTGTGCTCGATGCATGCGGAGCATAAGATAAGAGAAGGAGACGTCGGACTGTCTCCAACTCGTGATGTTTTTACAGCTGTCTGTGTAAGGGGTTAGCCCAAAACCTTATAAATGTATTAGGCTCTGTGTTTTCGGGTCTCTCTTCTCCAGCAGTTGTCTGGAGCAGGGAGCCACCCGGGTTTGTGTTTCTGTAACTTTTATTTGTGGCTTTCAAAATAAACCAGCACTAAAATGAAGCAAGTCGGACTCCGTCATCATTCAGATCTGTTCAATAAAAGAACTGGGGTATAACAGGGTAGTGAAGCAAATTCCATCCACATCCAGTGAGGATGATGCTAGTAGCAGTGATGAAGAATGGCTGCCAGAAAAAGAAGGATTAGCCAGTGCTAGCAGTAGTGATATTGAAACTGAGGATGCTGAGGGAGTTGAGGGTGAGGATGCACCACCTAATGCCCCAGCTCACCGAAGTGCTGCATGCACAGGAAAGACCAAATACATCTGCATGCAGTGTCTTGTGCCTTTGTGCCCTGGGTGTTTTGCCAATTTTCATTGAAGACAGACTTGGTGAACTGATGCACAAGTCAGTAAACCAGACCATACAGCTGAATTCCATCTAAAATTGTGTTTAGAGAGCCATTGACAATATTTTTGATAGAATATGTTCATTGAATAATATACAGGTCAACAAGGGGCAGTAGGGAGGGGATGAGAAGTCAAAAGTTGGCTGAATGAGAAATGAAGGGAAGGATGGAGGGAGAAAGAGATTACATGAATGAGGAGTGGGGTTTAGTGATTTTGCAATGCATTGAGCAGTATTAGAAACTTAAAATTTATAAACACTAGTAACAAAATCTGAACAATCATTTCATAGTTTTGACAATTTTTTTCTCTGTTTTGTGAAATTGTTTCTTCACTTTAAAAACTCAAACGCATGCAGTCCACCTGAGTGCTCAAAGACGTCTTTCTCCTAATCAACACATTCATACTAGATCTGATTAATCTTTTCTCTATTAACAGGTTATGTTCCACAGGCTGTTAAGGTAGCAGTAATTAAACCCCTACTCAAAAAGCCTACTCTTGACCCAGGTGTCCTAGCTAATTATAGACCAATATCCAATCTCCCATTTATTTCTAAAATTCTATTGTCAAGCAGTTATGTGACCACTTGCACAGGAATTATTTGTTAGAGGATTTTCAGTCAGGATTTAGAGTCCATCATAGAACAGAAACTGCACAGGTGAAAGTCACCAATGAGCTTCTCCTAGCCTCAGACAAAGGACTTGTCTCTATACTGGTCCTCTTAGATCTCAGTGATGTTTTTCACACCACTGATCACAGAAAGATGATTTCAATTTGTTCATGTTAATGATGAATCTTCCACACAGACTGAAGTTAGTCACGGCGTTCCACAGGGCTCTGTGTTAGGTCCAATTCTCTTCACTTTATACATGCTCCCTTTAGGCAATATTATCAGGAAACACAACATAAATTTCCATTGTTATGCAGATGATACTCAGTTATATTTATCTTTGAACCCAAATGAATCAGATCAGTTGGGCAAACTTCAAGCATGTTTTAAAGACATAAAGGCCTGGATGATCTGTAATTTCTTCCTCTCCTCTCCTCTTCTCCTCTCCATCCATCTATATGCCACCATTACACATCACTAAATTTGTCTCCTCTCTCCCGTAGTGTGTCCTCTCTCTCTCTCCCCGTAGTGTGTCCTCTCTCTCTCCCCCTGTAGTGTGTCCTCTCTCTCCCTGTACCTTTCTGCAGGTTGCCCTGGCTCTGGAGCTCTATGTCTCTGATGAGCAGTCACCGTCCACATCAATCTGACCAGTGTTTCATTGTTTGTTGTTGTGTCTTGTTGTTTTTCTTTTCTTCTCCTCTGTCCACTCACCCCAGTTTTTCCTTCCTGCTATCACCAAGTGCTTGCTCAAGGGGGTTTTCTTCTATAATAATAATAATGATAGTAAGGTCTAGACCTTACTTTGTAACGTGTCCTACAACAACTTTTGTTGTGATTTGGCGCTATACAAATAAAATAAAATAAAAATGAATTGAATTGAATTGGATTGAAATAGAGAGGTGAATGCCTTGACTTTTAACATCCTTACTTCTTGTGATGTCCTGTGAATTTCATCATTAGAAAAATGTCTGCTGCATATCCTTTTGAATGGTTTGTCACAGAGAAGCAATGCTGTTTGTTTAACCACTCACAACAAAGTTGTGGCTCTTTAGCAAAGCACTGAAAAATCAATATGGAGTTGTAATGACTTGAACATTGTACAGTAGTGAGGAGCATCATTTATGGTGTATGTGTGGGTTGGTCTTAATCAGTCAATAATTGATAATCAATACCAATACCTCAATCATTACTTGGACACTTGCTGACAATAGTGATATTTCGTTAATATCAGTCTGCTGGCTGCAGAGCCAGGATACCAGTCAGAGTCACAGTTTGACAAAAATTAAATCTGAGTTTGTACCAGCAAACCCTACAAAAGAGATTCGCCCAAATCCAAGCCCCTTGTAAAATCAAAAATCTAACAAACAGAATGCTAAAATATCCACAAATGCACCAACATTTACAGTTCACAGTGTATTATATAAACAGTGGACAGTTCACCAGAGTTATTTGCTCAGTCTTAGGTGTTTACAAGTGTTCTCTTCTTAATCAAGACACTTCTTCAGGGGCCCAGCCCCCAAGCTAGCATTAATGTTTGTATGCACATTAGAAAATGCATGTCATCCATGTGACTGTGCACTGTGGCGTTGCATTCTACAGAACACACCGATGTACATGCAAATCTGCCAATAAAAGCACAAAGCAGCCAAAGCAATAAAGCAGCAGTTTGTCATAAAAGTAAAAGTAGAAAAGGTCATCCAAACCTCTGCCACATGGAGGAGGTGTTATCTCAGGAACTATTCTCTGCAATTAAAACTGAGAAACACAGAACAAGAACATTCTCAAATCTTCTGGTAAATGTCACCATGAAAGCACCTCTTACACTGCTGCTGATGTACAGTAACTCACAGGCTCAGTGCTCCTCCGGCAGCCTGGCACAGTGGTAAGCTGGGATGAACTGTGGCCATCAGAACAGACACATCTGCTGGGATGTGACAGTACAAACATTTCACACAAAATGCTAAACTGACAATTTAGCTTCCAGTCTGTCGCCAGAATTGCAATGAAATGTGTTGTGGGTATTTGTGGTAACCAGAGGACATTATGTGATCTTTGTGCTGGCCAACACATGTTCTTGTACACAAAATTATATCAAAATCAAATGCTGTCAAATGACCATGAAATAAACTGAAAACACCCCTGTTCCCCAGAGGATTCTGACATTAATGGGCACAGGACCTGTCCTCAAGTACCAACACTGCCAACCAAACTTTACAAATTTACACTAATAGAATAGCATGCTAACATGCTCATAATAACAGCTTTAATATGCTGATGTTTAAGCTCAGCATCTTCATTTAGCCTGCCGGCATGTTAACATTTGTAAATTAGCATCAAACAGAAGCACAGTTGAGGGTACTGAAAATACTGTATATTTTACAGGTATTTAGTTAAAATTAAAATTGTGGACAAACTGACATTTATGAAACAACTGGATGCAAATACTGTTGTATTTAACACACTTATTCTTGTTTCATGGTGATTTATCATCTGCAAATGATGAATGTCATACTTATGTGTCATTCTGAGGCTTTTAACAAAGAAGCCCTTCTTGTCACGTGCAGATTTGGAAAAAGCCATCCATGCTTTTATCACTTCCCGACTAGATTTCTGTAATGCCCTCTATGTTGGAATTTCTCAGCATCTTCTTCGGAAGCTTTAACTGGTCCAGAACACTGCGGGTTGACTGTTGTTAAATACGCCCAGGTATGCCCACATCACCCCTGTCCTTCTCTTGCTACACTGGTTGCCAGTACAGTTTAGAGTTGATTTTAAGATCCTGCTATTTGTTTTTATGCTCTGAGTTTCTCTCCCCCCTCCCCTTTCCTCTCTCTCCATTCATCCATCCATTTTCCTCCACTTATCCAGAACTGGGTCGTGGGGGCAGCAGTCTAAGCAAAGATGCCCAGACTTCCCTCTCTCCAGACACTTCCTTCAGCTCCTCTGGGGGAATGCTGAGGCATTCCCAGGCCAGCCGAGAGACATAGTCCCTCCAGCGTGTCCTGGGTCTTCCCCGGAGCCTCCTCCCGGTGGGACATGCCCAGAACACCTCCCTAGGAAGGTGCCCAGGAGGCATCCGAAACAGATGCCCGAGCCACCTCAGCTGGCTCCTCTCAATGTGGAGGAGCAGCGGCTCTACTCTGAGCTCCTTCCGGGTGAATGAGCTCCTCACCCTATCTCTAAGGGTGCGCCCTGTGGAGGAAGCTCACTTCGGCCGCCTGTATCCGGGATCTTGGCCTTTCGTTCATGACCAAAAGCTCATGACCATATGGTCATAACCACAATTATATTGTCTATACTGACCACAATGGACTGATTCACTCATTCAGGGAACGGTGTTATGAATTAATGGATGAGATAAAAAGATTATTTTTACTCATGTTACATAACTGTACCTGATCTAGGCGGCTAATGCAAAACAATTTTAGAACAAAGCACAAAAAGATAGTTTCTCTTTTAAAACTGAGTGAAGTTTGTCATAAAAGGTAGTCATGTTCAGTGTTGGCCATTTGATCAAATACAGTTTTGATGCCTCAGTGACTGAGATTAAGCAGCAGCTACACCCAGTATGTGATACTCTTATGTACCTGTTCATGAGCAGTCACTGTGGAGACAGGTGTGCAACTCTCCGCTCCAGAGTTCTGTGGGTCACCATCACCTGCCACGTCATGGATCTCTCTGGCCAGGATAGCTAGGTCTTTAGCCAGGTCTTGACTCAAGCTATCAGGGTGGGAACACGTGTTTGAAAAGCCAATGTAAAATCCTTGCTTTCTTTACACAGATGCTCCATAACAATAACAGAATACACTGATTAAAATCTGGTTTGGCAGAAATTTACAGTTGAAGCAATGTAATGGTGCATTGCAGTAATGCAATAGTATGCCAAATTATTATGCCAGTAAAAAAAAAAAAACCCTGAGCGGTCAGTTAATGTAGTTTATGCACACCTTGGTTGTGGTTATAGTTTAATTACATTTTTTATCTTTGCATGTCCAGGTTCAATTGAGTCTGTTTTGTCTGAAGCAAACCTGAATGTTTTGTGTAGTTTCACATAATAAACCCTTAATAAAAACCTGTGAAATAAAAGTGATGTAAAAGCTGCAGGTGTGAAACCACCTTTTATGTCAGTACACACTGACACAACCTTTGGAAATCATATTAGCATCTACACCGAGGGGGGGAAGCTCCAACTTTAATATACAGCTCCTGTCTTACCGTGCAATCTCAGCACTGTGGGTAGACCAGTTGTGAAAAGCATCTCCCTCGTGGTTCATCTCCTCAGAATCTCTGCCAAGGGGTTTTGGATGCAGAGGGACCACCGGCTGGGGCCGAGGCTGACTGTGTGGGCTGTGGGAAGCTGAGGAAGGTTGGGAGCGTTTGTATTTAGGAGTGCTCTGGTTTGAATCATACTCATCATCTGAGGTAGAAGTATAGTCAGAGTCTTTCTGTCGTCTCCTGGAGCCTTGGTGTCATGAATTGGGTTGCGTTATGGAGGATTAAAGGTAGAGAAGTTGGGAAAACAGGAGAGAAAAAGTGGAAGTCATCAAAGGATACCGTCATGAAAACCACCACCAAGTATTTCAGATGTACCATGTCACCAAAATCCTTCCCAGAAGAAGAGACAGATACTGTGCTGTGGAAATCATCTGGTCTCCATATTTCTTACACGTTCACTGTACTGTTTTCTTTCAAAATCATTTAGAAACTGAAATGAGAAGTTGACTTCCACAGTAAAGCAGCTGAGTACCAGAACCTAGTGCCATATCTTGAAGTCAGTGTATTGTGTAGCATAAAATATTTTGCTCAGAGCTAGTATTGCAGTGTTCATCATTGTTAAAGTATCCTCACAGCATGACTGTAAACAGAGAGGAGATCATATATTACCATAAACTGCATGAGAACACTGTAGACATGGAGGAAAATAAAATTTTATTTCAAGGTATTTGTAGTACGAGTGTTAGTGTGGATTATGTTAGTGAAAGCACAGTCAGTCCCCTTCTCAATTTTTTTTTAATGAAAATGGCTGAAACATTCAGTATATAAATTATGAATGCATCAAACTCTTCGACGCACCTTGTAATCCCAGTCTAGTCACAAAGTCATGATTAAATGGTTACAGCAGTCAAACTATTTACATTCTATTGACCAGCTATGTCTGCAGGGGTTAGTATTCTACTCACTTGCTGTGCTGCTGGCATATTTTGCACTGCTTGAACGTCCACGAGTGATTGGGGCCTTGATGAGTGCTGCTTTCTGCGGCCGTTCTACAGGCTTTGGTGCTGGAGCAGAGGCTCTTCGAATTGAGTTGCTGCTGGACTCGCTACGGTTGGAGAATCCTGTGCTCCTGCCTTTCCACTGTGGGGCGGAAGAGGCCTCAGTGTCGCTGGGTGTGTTAAATGAGCTCGTCCGCTTACGAGGCATGGCCAGCATATCCAGCCTGGAGAGCTTTTTGGTTTCCTGAGGCTGCTTAGTTAGGATGTTGCTCACCTCCTGGGACAACCTGTCTGTCTCTGAGCCCTCATTGTCTGAGGCTTCTCCTAGGCGAGCACGACGGAGCACGGAGGCCCTGGTGGGTCTTGGTGCTGACAAGCTGCTGGTACGAGTCAAAGCCTGGGACACTCTGGAGGTCTTGGCGTCCTCCTTCTGGAGGGGAACTGTGTATTTCTTGCAGTTGCTAAACTCCTGATCAGAGTAAGGTAAGCTTTGAGGGTCATCACTCAGGTTTTTGAAACCACATTTCCCAGCACTACGTCTTAGTCCCACTGGCCTCCTGACAGACTCTGTCTTATTTCTGCTGCCTTTATATTATTATTATTATTACTATTAATAATAATAACAACAGTAAGGTCTAGACCTTACTTTGTAAAGTGTCTTGAGATGACTTTTGTTGGGATTTGGGGCTATAAGAAATAAAGTTGAGTTGAATTGAACCTGAATGGAATGTGGCCATGTGCTCTGTCTGGATGATGCGCATGCGAAACACACTGCTGACCCAGCAGATTTGTTAATTTTGATGGAGTATAAAACAAATCAAAGCAAGTAGCTGCCTGGAAGGGGTCGAAACATAGCACAAACAACAAATTGACACATTTTGAAAGTGATATGATCTACGAGGTAGACTTATTGAACTGTGTTTGTTTCTGGTGTAAATATGTTTATATGTGCTCTGCTGTGTATGATTCTTCTCAGTTTTTAATAACGTGGATTTAAAGAAACCTTCTGATTTCAACAGTAGTGAAAACGATATTTGACCTCTGAATCCAATGCTTGTATTGCTTCTAAATTGCAGATTATTCTATCAGAAATATAGCCACTTCACAAAGGCTTTACATATTGTTACTAACACTCAGCATCCTATAGCTCTTTTATAAAAGCTGTATACTGCTCTCCGTAGGAGGTCGTGTCTTTAGGCACAAAAAACAGGCAAATGAGCTCATAGTACCAACATTTCATCTAAAATTTCACAAATTTAAGGCTCACAAAATGTCCTTGTCTACATGTGGTTAAGACCCACCTCTGTTCTTTTTCTCATCAGACCAACAACCCATAATTCAGTCTGTTCCCGTACCTGCAGCTGTTATGACAGATCCAACAAGTAGCAATCAGAGCTCTAATGCAGAGAGCTTATGCTTGTTATATTTATGAATTATTTACAGTATTCTGATGATTCTCCCCTTATGCATGTTACAGTTAGCTGTTCATTTTAATGGCTGAAAGGGAAGCACATTGCTTCATTTGTGGTGTTAAAAATATTTCAATTTTACCATTAATTAGACCATTATGAATGACCCTCGCTGGCCAAAATCTTTGTTTTTCTGGAGTGTGTGTATATGTATGTGTGACCCTGTGAGCCAAGACAAAAAGGAAAGACATCTGGTAAGAGGATTGTCCTTGGCACATATCAAATTTATACCCACATAAAAAGGTAAATACCCTACAAGGCTACACAGATACAAGCTGCTGATTGTCCTTCCTATTACAGCTTTATGGAAGGTGTAATTCATACAGACATCACCCACCAGTGAGCCTTAACCAAGAATTGTTTCCCTTCTGAAAATTATCAGCCCACATACAGTACTTTCAAAATACCTCAACCAGTAAAAGACTTTATAGAAGAGTGGATAAGATGATGGACAATGATACGCTGCTCATGTTACGTGTTGTTGTAAGTGGAGCCTTCTTTTCCCCCTGTCGTTTTGCATCTTTTTGGTCCTTATATTGTCATCTTACACTTTTGTAATTGTATGTAGCAGTAAAAAAGTATTATTTTAGAGACCAGAGTACAGGTGGTAGAGCAGGTTGCATGTCTGGTGGTTTGATCCCAGTTCCCTCCGTGCACATTTTGAGGTGTCCTTGGACAAGACAGTGAAGCTCCAGCTGCTCCCAGTGGGCAGACCAGCAGCTGCAAAGGGCTTTGTCCAGTAAGTGTATCATTTTACATTAGACTAACTTGATATTACGGCCTAATAATGCTGAGGTGTCAGTAAAATACAATATTTTTCAATGACTCAATCTCATTTTCAGTTTTGACTGAAAGTTATTTTTTTCCTGTTCTTTGTATCTCAAAATGGTCATTTGGGAGAAACCTGAGCTCAATTTAATCTAAGTCAGGTCTCCCTCATTTATTTTGCTCCCCCACTTCCATGGGGGAAATTTCACATAAACTGATCTTAGCTGTTGCTCCATATTTCTCCCAAGGTGGGGTTTAGGAGAAAAAAAATCAAACTACACTCATTATAAGAATGTGATTTACTTCTCAGGAGACAAAGGGAAGACTGTTGTGACCAGCAGAGGATTCCTCTGGGTTTTTTGAATTACAAGTCAGAATTTGACTGGACTTGACACTTGTTTTCAGTGATCCCAGACTTGTCTTTACTGTCTCTCCCATCTAACGTGTGGCCATGGCTGAACAAGAGTTGAACTCTACAGCATGACAGGTACCACAAGGCTGAAAGGTTTTTAAACTGCATATACAGTAGGTATATTTAATGTCTCACCTCTCTCCAAGTGCACCCAGTTGCAACAATACAATCTCCACATACCAGGACCTGAAGGGAGACACAAAACACAAGCAGCAGCTCAGAGGCATGGCAAAGCCAGAGGTCCATCATCCAAGAATACACAATTTGCCACAAGTAAACAGGTTGGTGGTGACTTCAGGGCTTGTTTCAGTCACACTGCGGTTACTCTATCTCACTTAAGTCTTGTTCTGCCAGAGCTTGTTGGAGCACTCTTATTAAATCGCCATACTGTTGTAGCTCTCCCCATGACCTGCCAAGGATAAAAAATCTGTTTACCATAAATTGCACCTCACTCCCTCTCAAATACCATCTGCTGCCCAAACTATGCTGTGCACATACCCTCTAAAAATAGGCGTCCTGATTGGCTCCTGAGGAGATGGGGGATCCACATCCGCCTGAAACCCCTCAACACTTGTTCATGAGGCTGTTTTTGACTCCTCTAGTCTAACAGTCCACACAACCCATCTTACCAGTTTGCTTAACGTCACATGGAACTGGTAGGAATTTGTCAGGTGACAGAGTTTTATGTGTATTTAACATTAAAAATGTCAAATGAAGCATATTGGACCTTTTTTATCAACTGACACGAAGGCCCTCCCTTAGTAAACCAGCATAAAATTGATGCAGGCCACAATAATTAATGTGGCCATACCTCACTGTCATCCATGTGGGAGGACCTGCTGTGGACTCACACATGAAGGCTGCTCTAGAAGAACAAATAAGGAAAAGCTGCACGTGACAGGTGTTTCTGTGCTGCTGTTGTACAGCATGTTGCCTTCTACTTGCTTTTACAACATGTTCTTCTGGTCGTTATAAAACCAGAATATTTGGTTAACTAATTATTAATTATTATTGGTGCGTTAGGAAGGAGCCAGAAAAGTGATGGTCAAGATTCTCACAGACAAATGAGCCACTCACCAACAAGGAGCCACATGAAATAGGTGGGTTGCAAACTCATTACTATTATGATGCATCAAACTCGGATGGAGGGCAGGAAGTGAAAACCAGATGAAGAGATGGAGTAAAGTCTGTATTGTGTTAGTTTAAACCTCATTAGAAGAAAAAGGCATAAACAGACAATCACAGCATATGTGGAATGTGGTCCTTCTGTTATGAACAACAGACCTGATGGACTTTTCTCCTATTGAGGCATGCTGTCCTGTGCATAGACATAATATAATGTAAGTCTGTGCACAGTGCCTCTTCATGTTAAAGTTATGGTTGTTTACTTGTCTGTGCTCAAACTAAACACTAAAGTGGACGCTTGGATGCAGTTGAAGCATCCGCTACTGTGTGTACAAAACCTATAAAATAAAGCATCACTTACATGAAACATTAGCAAAAACATAAACAAAAAGCTTAAATTCAGTGGGACGTTTAGTGATGGTGTTGCCAAGAGGAAGGACAGGGGGTCACTAAAATCATTTGGATTCATCCTCTGGGGACCATGAACATGGTGGCTCACACTGAGGGACCAGACCAGAATGAGGAAGTCACAGGAACAGAACAATCTAATTAGGCAAAGTACATAGCCTAATTTTGGATTTGATTTGGGGTGAAGTAGCCTTTTCACTTATTTTTTAAATCAAAACTCCTCCCTTGACCTGATATTCAACACCATGTCAAAATCCATTTCACCTTCTCATAAGGTTAAAAGAATTTCATAAATACATGTCATTTACATGTGACTGCTTAAATATTTTAAAGTTTTAACATGGTTGCCCTTAACCTTCTTTCCATTCAGAGAGAGGGGTGCAATGTTCAAAATGACAGATACTAGAAAATGTCCTCTGAAGCACAGATCTCTTCAAGCGCTACAGATAAAACAACTCGCAGGAAAGAAAAAAAAGCGGAGGAATCTATAATAATCTTCTCGAGGCAGAGCCTGTATCTCCAGCTCTGCACATATTTAAAGGTCACTGGTGGTTTTACAAGTGGCGATAATGGCATTCCTACATTTCCATGAATTGGCTGATCTGTCACTGAAGGCTTGTTTGTGAGCGGTTTGTTCCTCTACGTGCCCCTCTCCAACCACAGTGCTTATTTCAGCCACCATAAAATACACAATTGTTCCGATTCATCACTGAATTAGTGGGACGCTGACAGTTCCCTCTAAGCTGTTGCTTGGTCGCTGATCCAGGTGCAGCCACAAGCTATTACTGTATTAACTGATTAGCAGTGTTCTTTGGCTGACTGGCAGTACAGTGGTCTTATACTGTCCCACTGCCCATGCTTTATGTACGCAGCTGGAATATAGATCAACCAGGCGTTCAAGTGAAGATGTGCTCATGTGTGAAGTGTTAAAGGCATACTGCTGCTCACAGCTGATTACATTTTGCATGACTGTTAATACGTATCTGTTTCAAACCCAGCTGGTATGAACTGGCAGGCAAAAAGGCCACATGAGCACAAAACACATCAGTTGTGGTTTGGAATGATTTCAGTGATTGTATATGCCTTTGGGTTTTAATTAAACAAAATCATCACAACGGTGAAGTGAAATGAAAGTGGAAGGCATTAACCTGAGAGAGGACCCCAAGGCAAAAATGAGTTTGATTCCCATTCACCCAGTCTCTGTCTGACATGCAACACTACAGTACCCGGTTCCCGGTTTGCTGACTGGCACTTTGTTTGAACACATTCATTTGGGAATATGCACCATGTGAGCACAAAAATGCAACAGCACCAGTGTAAACTCTGGGTTTGGACTCTTCAAGGCTCTTATCATGTCAGGATATTTTAGCATCAGAAAGAAAATTTCACTTAAATTAGGACAGTTCAGCAGAGAGCAATAAGCCTAGAGCCCCAAGAACCAAATAATTAACTGAGCGTAATATGTTAACAATAAATACATCAAACAACACTTTGGTAAATAGATGGATTAGTGATACATTCCTGGCATAATATTGAAAATTACACATCTGTGTATTTCCTGCTTTCTTTAATTTTGTTG